GATTTAATCCGCTGCTCCTGAGTCTGCTGGGAGAGATTTCCCTTTCTCTTCTTTGTTTGCACAGCTCCCAGGGTTCAGCTTTGGATTTGGCCCCGCCTCTGCGTGTAGGTCGCCTGAGGGCATCTGTTCTTCGCTCAGACAGGATGGGGTTAAAGGAGCAGCTGCTTCGGGGTCTGTGGCTCACTCAGGCCGGTGGGAGGGAGGGGTACGGATGCGGGTCGATCCTGTTGCAGCAGAGGCCGGCGTTACGTTGCACCAGCCAGAGGCGCACCGTGTGTTCTCCCGGGGAAGTTCTCCCTGGATCACTGGACCCTGGCCGTGTCGGGCTGCACAGGCTCCCAGGAGGGGTGGTGTGGATAGTGACCTGTGCTCGCACACAGGCTTCTTGGTGGCGGCAGCAACAGCCTTAGCGCCTCATGCCCGTCTCTGGGGTCTGCGCTGTTAGCCGCGGCTCGTGCCCGTCTCTGGAGCTCCTTTAAGCAGTGCTCTTAATCCCCTCTCCTTGCGCACCAGGAAACAAAGAGGGAAGAAAAAGTCTCTTGCCTCTTCGGCAGGTCCAGACTTTTCCCCGGACTCCCTCCTAGCTTCCCAGCCGTGGCGCACTAACCCCCTGCAGGCTGTGTTCGCGCTGCCAACCCCAGTCCTCTCCCAGCGCTCTGACCGAAGCCCGAGCCTCAACTCCCAGCCCCGCCCGCCCCGGCGGGTGAGCAGACAAGCCTCTCGGGCTGGTGAGTGCCGTTCGGCCCTGATGCTCTGAGCGGGAATCTCTCCGCTTTGCCCCCCGCACCCCTGTTGCTGTGCTCTCCTCCGCAGCTTCGAAGGTTTCCCCCTCCGCCACCCGCAGTCTCCGCCCGCGAAGGCGTTTCCTGGTGTGTGGAAACCTTTCCTCCTTCACAGCTCCCTCCCACTGGTGCAGGTCCCGTCCCTATCCTTTTATCTCTGTTTATTCTTTTTTCTTTTGCCTTGCCCAGGTACGTGGGGAATTTTTTGCCTTTTGGGAAGTCTGAGGTCTTCTGCCAGCGTTCAGTAGGTGTTCTGTAGGAGTTGTTCCACATGTAGATGTATTTCTGATGTATTTGTGGGGAGGAAGGTGATCTTCACGTCTTACTCTTCTGTCATCTTGAATCCCCTTATATCATTCTAGTGTTCATCATGTTTCATGGTTTTATGTTCTACTTTGTGCTGGTTAAATATGACTATAGCACTGACTTTTTTTTGTCACTTTAGATTTTAGATTAGTGGTTGTCACTCCTGACTGGTTAAAAGAATGATCAGTGAGGCTTTTTATAGGACCTAGATCTGGGGCCTATTCTAGAGCAGACCCACTGAATCGGACTATCTGGCTGTGGACCATGAAATCTAATATCCAGAAACGGTGTCACAGAAAACCAGAGGCAGACGCACATGAAAGTGGTAAAGGCAAATCTTATTCAATAACTATTGCAATAGTGGAAAAGAAACCTTGGTATAGAACTAGGCTTCATTCTGAATACAACAAGGGCCCATAGGGGTGTATAGCCAAGGAGCAGGGTGGGTGTCAGTGAATGAAAATTACTAAGAGGAAACATTAGAGGAAGGGGGATTCTTCTTAAACCAAATTGACAGGATTCTTGCTGAAGGCAGTGCAGGGGGATAAGATTGAGGGTGGGATAAGGAAATTTGAGGGTAGGGGATTTTCACTAAACTGACTCAGCAGGATTCTTGCTAAAACTAGACTAAGGGGTCCAAGGACAAGCCCAAGAGCTTGGCCTCGTCACAAAGAGGACTCAGAGGAGACTTCCCTGGTGGTCCAGTGGTTAAGAATCTGCCTTCCAATGCAGTGGACGTGGGTTTGATCTCTGGCCGGGGAACTAAGATCCCACATGCCATGAGGCAACTAAGCCCATGCGCTCTAGAGCCCGTGCCTTACAACTAGAGAGACTGCGTGCCGCAACTACTGAGGCTGTGTGCTCTGGAGCCTGCGCACCCCAAGTAGAGAGAAGCCCACATGACGCAATGAAGAGCCCACACCACTACTGAAGATTCTGCATGCCGCAACTAAGACCTGATGCAGCCAAAAAAAAAAAAAAGAGGACTCAGAGGAGCCCAACCAAGGAGAGAGTCTTTGTCAACATTAACAGCTATTACAAATTATAGCAACATGATTCTGATGTATGCATTTGTAGTGAGAATTGCATCCTTATTCCCATAGAGGTTTGAGCCTTGATATTTCATTTAGATCTTTTCTTGATCTCCTTTTTAGTAGTAACTTCATGATCCTGTAAATGGACAGCTTTCTTCCAAAGCCTTTTCTTCTTTAGCCTTTTACTGGAGAGTACCATGGCACCAAAAGGAGAGAAGTTAAGACCAAATAAATCATGTTTTGAAGCAAACACACTTCAACAAATATTAAGGTCCTACTGTGTTCCAGGTAGTGTTCTAGTTGGTGGGGATACAGTAGTGAAAAAGGCAGACATGGGACAGCCACTCTATTAGTTGGGGACATGGTAGTCAAAGAGTAGAATATAGTACATCAGTAAATAAACAAGTTAATTTCACATAGTGATGCACTATGAAGAAAATAAAAGAAGGGTATAATAGTGATTTGGGGAAGGTTGTATTAAGGACAGGAGGTTTGGGCTTCCCTGGTGGCGCAGTGGTTGAGAATCTGCCTGCCAATGCAGACGACACAGGTTCGAGCCCTGGTCTGGGAAGATCCCACATGCCATGGAGCAACTGGGCCCGTGAGCCACAATTACTGAGCCTGCGCGTCTGGAGCCTGTGCTCCGCAACAACAGAGGCCGCGATAGTGAGAGGCCTGCGCACCGCAATGAAGAGTGACCCCCACTTGCCACAACTAGAGAAAGCCCATGCACAGAAATGAAGACCCAGCACAGCCATAAATAAATAAATAAATAAATACATTGTGTATTAAAAAAAAAAAAAAAAAAAAAAAGATTGCTTAAAAAAAAAAAAAAAAAAAAAAGGACAGGAGGTTTAATCTGAAATTATTATTACAGGTTGTTATTAGTCATACTCAGATTTGGGATCTACTAATCCAGGTAGAGAAATAATAGTAAGTACAAAGGCCCAAAGTCAGTGACAAGCTTGATGTATTTAAGGGACAGAAAGAAAACCAGTAGGAGAAGAGCATTGTAGGCAATGGTATGTGATGAATCTCCTAATACCTATTAAGGGTGATTCCAAGGTTTTTGACATTGAGCAACTGGCTCAATTATCATTTTAATAGTAAAATTATTAAGATGAGGAAGACTGAGGCAAATTGAAGGAAGACTGGGGAAGCAAGAGATGCGCATTAGGTGTGAAGCCCTAAATAGGCTTCTGGATGTGGGATTTTGGATCTGTCTGTGTGTGTCTGTCTTTCTCTGTCTCTGTCTTTCCCTCTCCTTTTTTCCCTCCCTTCCTCTTCTTTCCACCCGGGCCTTTCCACATATCAGCTTCAGGATAACCAGATTCCTTGTATGCTTACATGTTGATCAAAGGCTCCCAGAGCGATTATTCTAAGAGAGATGTACAGAGGCTGCATGGAATTTTCTAACCTAGCTGCAGAGGTCATGCAGTGTCACAGACTGCACCTCTTTTTTTTTTTTTCATTGTAAATGCTTTGTTGCTTTTTATTCACCTTTTTTCACTTTATTTATTTATTTTTATTGGAGTATAGTTACTTTACAATGCTGTGTTAGTTTCTGCTGTACAGCAAAATGAATCAGCCACACGTATACATATATCCCCCTTCCTTGGATTTCCTTCCCATTTAGGTCACCACAGAGCACTGAGTAGAGTTCCCTGTGCTATACAGTCGGTTCTTATTAGTTATCTATTTTATACATAGTAGTGTATATATGTCAATCCCTCTTGATGGGAAGTGTGTCACAGGATTTGCAGCAATGTTTTAAAATGATCACATTATAGAATCCCTCATTATATTAAGTTTATTATCTTTAAAGATTAGTAATCATTTCCCTTTTAAAGTATTGTTGAACAATAACATACCTTTGGAATTATTAATGATATAGTACTTTCCTCTCTGTATAGTTAAAATTATTGCCTTAAAATTATAAACCACTTATTTATGCTGTACTGGTTGTTCTAAGGTCTTTGTATCACCTCCTATGTTACACAGATAGCTCACTGAATCCTATGACACTTCATCAAATGAAATAAAACATTGAAGACAATAGAGTTCTTCAAACTTTTGAAATTCTTCAGAGGTCTCTAGCCCTATCCTTAAAGGATGTAAAAGGAGGTTTCCAATTGTGATTGTCATTTGTTTGCTAGAATGAGTCCTGTATCTGTTGGCTGGTAAAATGAAAATTTTCAATGGCTGAATCTCTAAGGAATTTTAAAAGAGTTTATGACTTGTGTGTTATTTTTGTATTTTTGAAAAAGCAGTATTTTTTTCTTTTAAGTTATCTGGAATTTTATAATTTATTCCTTTGGGTTAGATTCTATTAGAAAGAGAAATAGGATGGTTTTTTTTTTTTTTTTTTTTGGATTTTGCTTTTTTTTTTTTTTTTTTTGCGGTACGCAGGCCTCTCACCATTGTGGCCTCTCCCATTGTGGAACACAGGCTCCGGACATGCAGGCTCAGCGGCCATGGCCCACGGGCCCAGCCGCCCTGCAGCATGTGGGATTTTCCCGGACCGGGGCACGAACCCGCATCCCCTGCATCGGCAGGCGGACTCTCAACCACTGCGCCACCAGGGAAACCCGGAAATAGGATTGTATTTTATTTTTTATATGAGTGATTTTAATAACTCAACATATGTGATTCTTATCCCTATGTGTTTCACACCTTGGAAGCTTTTAGAAAAGAAACCTATGGCCAGGTCTTACCCTCAGGGATCCTGATTAGTTGATTTGGAATGGGGTCCAGGTATAGGTATCTTTTACAGCTCCCCAGGTGATTTTTTTATGAAGCCATATTTGAGACCCATTGGTCTACTGCATCTGACTCTGGTATTTGCTGATGATAATCTTAGTCTCTGTAACAGGGAAAACAAATGGAAGACCTGCCTGATGCAGCTGTTTTGGCGACTAGACTTAAAAACACTCTCATCCAATACCACAGCCTTGAAGATGACAAGTGGCGAGTTGCTAAGAAAATGGTAAATTAATTAAATTACTTATGTTTGAGGGTGTATCTTCTGTCTAATGAGCTGGTGGATGACTTTCAAAATGGTATGGAAAAATATGGACCATACTTTAGATGAATGTGCGGGATAGATAAACGTGCTAATAAAGTTGATGGTTTACTGTCTCACAAAGGAAGAAACATAATAATCCTGCACCGCTTTCATTAGTTCTTCAGATATTGGACACAAGGATAGACTCATGGCAACAAGATTGTAAAGAGCAGCCTCTCAAGTCAGTAAATAAAATGTGTCATTGTCAGTTTAAGGAAGTATAGTAATTGATAATTTGAAACTGTTTCAGATATTTTAACAAGCCTGTGAGAATGACCAGTTAGTATTCTTTTTTTACCAATGTGACATACCTGAGTGTTGACAGAGCCAATCCTTGAACCCAGGACTCTTCCAGTTAAGTCCTCTGGCTATTCTGCTATTCAGAATTTCTTGGGAAATGATCTAGAAAAAAATGTAGGGACTAATTCAATGTAGCACCGTCATAATAGATTTGAATTGTTTAATTTTAAAAAGATGTGAGCAAGTTCAGAATGAAGTATTTAACATTTCTATTATCTCAGTCTAAATGTGTCAGTAATGGTAAATAGATGAGGTTGGAATGGGGCAAATAATAATGGCCAATGAGATAGTGCCATCACCGAATCTTAACAGTGTTTGGGTGTCATTAAGCTATTGAAAAACCTTTTGTAGGGGTTTGTAATTTAAGTAAGATGTGTACTACTTTCAGATACAGAAGAAATTCAGATATGGATTATTTTATGGTATAAATTACTTTTGCATATTTCTTTGAATATTTACTTATGTTTTATTTTCATGCAAAAGCTAATGCTGTAGAGTTTATGAAATTGTCAGTTTTATATCCAGGTTTCCACCTATGTAATTATCAGTATACACTGTTTTTATTTTTCTAGAAAGGTGTAACAATTTGGAGGAAACCTTCAGAAGAATTTAATGGATATCTGTAAGTAAATTCCTGTAGTGTTACATAGCTCTTAGGACATTGCTAAACTTCAGATATATACACACCTACACACATGATCACTGAATGATCATTGCCAGCAAAATTTGGCTTTTTCTTTAAGATGTTAAACTTTCTAAGAAGCAAATCCTGTTATGAATTCAAAGCCTTTAAAATGTCCATATCCCTGGTGGACAGAGTTGGTGGTGAGGGGATCATAAATAATGATATCAGATAGCTGATAAAATCTTAATTTCTTATTATGGTGTATAAGACTCTTCTAATATTCTTTCTGCATTTATTCAGAGCTGTAGCATATTTTATTTTATTTTATTTTTTTGCACGGGCCTCTCACCGTCGTGGCCTCTCCCGCTGTGGAGCGTAGGCTCCAGACGCGCAGGCCCAGCAGCCGCGGCCCACTGGCCCAGCCCTTCCGCGGCACGTGGGATTCTCCCGGACCGGGGCACGAACCCGTGTCCCCTGCATCGGCAGGCAGACTCCCAACCACTGCGCCACGGGGGGGAAGCCCCTGTAGCATATTTTATTCTAAGAAATTTATCTTGAAGAAATCATGGGAAAATTAATAGTTAATTTAAACTTGCCTCTTCCATCACAGTATTACTTAAAATATTAAAAATTACAAACAACCTGAATAATCAATTGTTGGTGAATGATTAAATTATAAAATGTGCTATCTTACAGTCTTTAAAAACATAATAAAATGCTCAAGATACAATGAAAAGTGAATAAAGCAGAATACTAAACTGTATGTAGCACAATCATGGGTTGACTTTAAATATATATTTTTTATATATTAAAATGTTTTATTTAACACAAAATATATACCTCTAGATGTCAGTTTTATGTGTGATTTTTATTTCTGTTTTTTGATTTTTGCATATAGTTGAACACGAATTATGCCTTTAACCAGTAAAAAAATATTGTTTTTTAAAGCCAGAGGAGATAGTTGCCATGTGAAATTGGAGTGGAATAGTCACATCCTTGGGACTCAGCACTTTTTAAAATGAAACTGTTGACTGAACTTACTATATACAGAGTATTTTGAAGTGTATTACCAAAGATAGCATTTCCAGGAAGATAAGTTGTACAGTACTTATGAGAAGGACAGGGAAACTGGAGTTGGATTAAACATTGTAAGCAAGTGTAGAAGTTAATCCTTTAGATCAGTAATCCCTGCTAGGGCTGAAAAAGTGTAAAAAGTGCCAAGGGAGCACTATGCTTGGTGATATGGAAAAACTTCATAGGGGAGCTAATATTGGAGCGGAGTCTTAAAGAACGAATAGGTATTTCTTAGGGAATGAAGGATAAATTCATATGCCAGGCAGAGAGAATTTCATTTACTGCATTCACACAGATGGGAAACACTTTAAGGAGTTTATTTAGGGAAGTTGAAATTGTGTTTGTATAGCTGGAGCATTAAGTATGGGGGTGGGGAGAGGATGTATGAAGGATTTTTTTTTTTTTTTTTTTTGGTATGCGGGCCTCTCACTGTTGTGGCCTCTCCCGTTGCGGAGCACAGGCTCTGGACGCGCAGGCTCAGCGGCCATGGCTCACGGGCCCAGCCGCTCCGCGGCATGTGGGATCTTCCCGGACCGGGGCACGAACCCGCGTCCCGTGCATCGGCAGGCGGACTCTCAACCACTGCGCCACCAGGGAAGCCCTCTGAAGGATTTTTGAATTCTAAACTAAGGCATTCAGTTTTGTGTTACCTACTGCTCAACGCTACCCATACATCCCAGGTCCTCAGAGGATTTTGCATTTATTCTAATAACAATTGTGAAAGAGAAATGAGCATGGAAAGTTTAGAGAAGAGCTTGTATCCTGGGGGTCCATGGCTAGCTTCTTGAAGTGTCCCTAAGATTGTATACAAAGTTTTGTGACAATGTGTATGTTCCTGGGAAGAGATCTGTGGCTTTTTTCAGATTCTTAAAGAGTTATATGATCAGAAAAGCTGGAAACTGATGCAGTGTTGAGTTGGACACCGAGTTCCCAAACTAAGGACATAGCATGGGAGTTGAAAAGGACAAATGAACTTGAAAGAGATTTATGATAGTGATGGTGGTGGTGATGATGATGATGGCGATGATGGCAATGATAACTAACTAACATTTATTGAAAACCAGATATTGTTCTAAGCGGTTTACGTTTGAAAAATCATCTTGATGAAACATGGTGACTTATTAGTTCTGACTATTGGAATGGGGTTAAGAGAAAAACAAGAGTCGAAATTGAATCCCAGATTTCTAATTTGTGCCTGAAGTAATTTGTATTACCCACCTCCTACCCCCACCGTCACCCCAAGTTAGAGAACACAGGCAGAAGAGCAGACTTAGGATGGAACATAATATAAGCTTGAGCTTGAGAGATTTACAAAATGATAAAAAGGCTTCAGATGCTTAAAAAGAGAAAAAAGACCCCTGAAAACAATGATGGAGTTAAAGCCAATCTACCTCTCTTTTCTTTCCTCCCCAGAGATAACTACTCTCTTGAAGTTGTGTGTATTATTCCTATTTCACACTTTGTGTGTGTGTGTGTTTTAGTAATACGCTTTAATTTTTTCTGTTCAGTACTGTGTTTTCAAGAGTTACCCATGTTGTTACATGTTGATCTAGTCTTTCACTTCTGTATTCATATACCACAATCTGTTTATCTGTGTTTGCAAGTTTGCCTACTGATGAATTTTCAGGTTGTTGTGAATTCTTCTCTACAGTAAGTTTTTTGGTACATGTCTCCTTCTACACACATGTAACATTTTCTTGGGATGTGCCTGTGTCTTAGGGACATACATCATCCCAATTTACTGCATGTTGCCAAATTGCTCTCTAAAGTGGTGGTAGCATTTTGAGAGTTCTCATTCCCTTCCATTCAACACTTGTTATTAAGTTTTTAATCTCTGTCAGTTTTTCAGGGGTATGAGATGGTATATTGCTAGTAATTACTTGATTATGAGTGAAATTGAGCATCTTCTCTAAGTTTATTGACATTTCAGGTCAATCTTGTCCTTTGCCCATCTTTTGTTTGGATTGTCCTCTTATTGTTTCATAGGAATTAATCATATATCCTCTATAATAAGTATATATCTGTATATATGTGTTGCACTTATCTTCTTCTACTCTGTGGCTAGTTTTTAAAGAAATTACTTATTTTGTCATTTGTGGTATGTAAGTTTTTAATTTTAAACATCTTGTGTAATTTGTGTTTTTGTGTGTTTTATGTATTCAAGTAATCCCCCTGTATCCTGAGGTCACAAAGATGGTCACTTGTATATTTTTCTCAAAATTAAAAATTTTTACCTTTTACATAGTGGTATTTAGTCTATCTGGAGGTATTTTGAATGATGTGAAGTAAGAATTCAGTTTTTATTCTCTCTGTTAGGATGACTGTTGAATCCAAACACCATTTTTGAACTAGTATATCTTTTTCTTACTGGTATGTAATGCTATCTTTGAAATATGTTAAGTTCTGATATTATTCATGAGTCAATCCTGGGCATTCTATTCTAGGGTGACCTATATTTCTATTCCTAATAAAAATGTTTCAAAAGTTAGGGTAAGAATATGCATATACTAATAACATGTTAGAGCATAGCTGAGAAAAGAACAGCATACGAAATAAATGGAAGCATTACAGTGTTCTACAGACTGCTCTTGGCTACACCATAACATGAAGGTATTTTACTATGTTCATGATAATGCATAAGATAGCCTTCAAATCTCTTATTAGATTTGAGGACGTTTTAGAGTACATTCTGATGAAATAATTGACAGAACCTAATTTATCAGAAAAGTCGGGATTTACTCTTTTTAAAAAATCTTCATTAAATTTTATTTTTTTTGATGTGAGCTCTGAACTGTGAGAGCATGCTGAAATTTTTCATTCTAATAGCATTTGACTTTCATATGTTTTCTCCAGCTTCAAAGCTCAAGGTGTTATAGACGATGTCGTCAATAGTGTAATAGACCATATACGCCCAGGTCCCTGTCGCTTGGATTGGGACAGCTTAATGACCTCATTGGATATTTTGGAGTACTTTGAAGAGGTATTTGTTTAGAAATGTTGCTTCAGATTGTGTGTGTGTGTGTGTGTGTGTGTGTGTGTGTGTGTGTGAGTGTGTGGCGGTGTATGTGTGCTCATGTGCATGTGAACACGTGTGTATACTTGCATTCATTATATTCGTTGCTTTGAGAATAAGTAGTCATGGCAAAGATCTCACAGGGGAATCCTTGCTGCCTTTTAAAAAGCTTGAGTTTCCTCATATTAACTAATGAGTGTTAGTCAGAACTGAGTTTGTTTTCTGCAATAGCTTTACCCTTGCTGCTTAAGAAAATCATCAGTGTCTTTAATTGTCAAACTTTAGCTGAGGTTCTGAAATCTAAAATTCTGAAAATACCACCATCATATTCAGGTTTCTAGATAATAGTATGTAGGTTTTCCATTAATATTTAGCCAAAATCAAAGATAAAAATGCCACCTTAGGCATTAGAGAATTATGTAACCTAAGTGGCTTTCTTTGTCTGTTTTTATTAATTCATTCCTTGCCATGTTTGAATTCCTTTATTGACACATTTGGTGTTTTAGTCAAAGTACTTGTGGATTTTATCTTATACACCTACAGTCTATACTACCTGCTTCCACTTTTATCATATAGGATAAGAGGTGACTCTACTGAAACAGAGATTTGGATACTGGGTAACTTACCTCTGTGTTTTGATTGTATATCCTCTTCAAGTCCATACAGTCGCCGTGAGATATAGAATAGAGATCTAAACCTGTCAGAATCAGTGTAAGAAATGTTATTAATATTTATTATAACACATTTTAAGTGAGTGTTAATTTTTTACTAAAGATTAACTTATGATATATGAGTCTATGTATGTGTTTCCCATAGTACTAACAGCTGTTACCTGTTCTCTTTCAGAATTGCTGTGTGATGCGTTATACTACTGCTGGTCAGCTTTGGAATATAATTTCCCCAAGAGAGTTTGTTGACTTCTCCTATACTGTGGACTATAAAGAAGGGCTTTTATCCTGTGGTAATTGTCTCAAAACCTTTTACTTTCTCTCGGTTTGTTTTAAATTTTGAGTTTTCTAGGCTGGATGTTTCTTTCTACACAAGATATATTTTCAACTTTCATACTTATGTTTTAAAAATTTATTTTATTTAATTTATTTTTGGCTGTGTTGGGTCTTTGTTGCTGCGCATGCACGGGCTTTCTCGAGTTGTGGCGAGCGGGGGCTGCTCTTTGTTGCAGTGCGTGGGCTTCTCTTTGCGGTGGCTTCTCTTATTACAGAGCTCGGGCTCTAGGCATGTGGGCTTCAGTAGTTGTGGCATGCGGGCTCAGTAGTTGTGGCTTGTGGGCTCTAGAGTGCAGGCTCTGTAGTTGTGGCACACGGACTCAGTTGCTCCACAGCATGTGGGATCCTCCTGGACCAGGGATCGAACCTGTGTCCCCTGCATTGGCAGGCAGATTCTTAACGACTGCGCCACCAGGGAAGTCCCCATAGTTATTTTATAATCACTAAGCTCTGTTTGCAAATGCTAAACCCTAGGGACTAAAATAACAATATCGAGAAGGTTTTTGCCATCTTTCTGATGAGTTTTTGTTCCCCGTTACACAGTATCCTTCAGGTCACAGCTAACAAATATGGAACGCATGACTGCCTCTAAGAAAGGGATCTAGTCGTTGGGTTTCCTTCTAAGTCACTCTCAAGAAACAGCTTCTTAGTCATATACTTAGAAAAAATACGCTTGGTATGTGTTAGAGTACTTTTCCTTCCTTGATCTGTGTAATATTTTTCTTTTCAAAATTAAAGATACTATTAGAAGGCTCCTGCTTTCTAAAATATATCTATAGGTAAATTAATATTTTTGTATGTACGATATATTTGAGTTGGCAGTTGTAGGTACACATCTACCTGTTTAATCTGAACCAGCCAGAACCAAAGTTTGATATGGTAGTGCCTGTGGGGAGCAGTGGTGGTACATAGGTTTGATTATTAGTACCTTGAGGCCTGGTTGCTACAGAGATTTGTAGTTTCCAAGGAGTTACCAGGATGACATGATGCCATTTATTCTGAAGGGATTAGAACTTTCCCCATTACATATCTACTAGCCTCTGTCAGAATTCCACTTAGTAATTATCTTTTTCATTCTTCCACGGTCACTCTTGGGGCTTAATTTTCATCTACATGGATAAGAAGAAAAATGTGTAAATAAGAAATCTGATAATATTTTTTAGTGAGAGTTTTAGATTAATGTCAGTCATTGCTATTAATAGTGTCATTTTAAATTGCCTTGTAGGGATAAGTCTTGACTGGAGTGAAAAGAGATCAGAATTTGTCCGTGGATATAACCATCCCTGTGGTTGGTTTTGTGTTCCTCTTAAAGACAGTCCAAACCGGAGTCTTTTGACAGGCTATATTCAGACGGAACTGCGTGGAATGATTCCCCAGTCTGCAGTAGATACAGCCATGGCAAGCACTTTAATCAACTTCTATGGTGATTTACAAAAAGCCTTACAAAAGGCATAATATGTTTAAACTTATAGTATTATATTCCCTGAATCAACTCTCTCCCTTAGCTGCATGGCCTGTAAAAATCATCCTTTCCTGTCTTCTGCATAGCCTGTAGAAGATTTTGAGATGTTTTTGGTTTATTTTATTCCTAAAGTAAATAGCTATCTAGTGTGGGCATTTCAGTTTTCCTAAACAGTTATTTGCACATTGTTTGGTATGGTGATATGTCTAGGAATGGAGAGTATGACAGAAATCCACCAAGAAGTAGATATAGTTCTTTGACACAAACTCTTAAGAAATTGAATAGTGCCTCAGTGTGAATATTTTGGCTACTTAGAAATTAGAGAAAGCCAAGCTTCGTGCTGGTAGGTTAAAATCACCTATTTTAGAGCTTTATGAACATTCTGTAAAAGTTTTAATTTTGGGAGGAGTTAAATATTAATGCTTTACTTCTCGTATGCTCTATGAGTTTAACAATATCTTGGATTAAAGAAAAAAAGCTCTTCTCTATACTTTATAAAGATGAACTTCATTGTCAGTTGACTTGTACTACTTTACCTATTGAAAATATCAGAAATAAGAAAAGAATAGGTATCATAGTAAATGCAATTCAGCTTTGATACCTGGATAGTATTATTTTATAGATATCTTTAAAAATATATTCATATCTTTATGGGCTTTTATTTTGGGAGTCTTAAAAGCATTTATGAATGAATAAGACAGTGTGAAAAACTGCCAGGTATGTGCTGGGACACCACATTGATTGGACAGTATTCTGGGTTATGTGAAATGGATGGTGGTATCCAATACTGACCAATAGAGAATCATCTCTCTAGAAAGTCAAATTCAGTGAATGTTTTATACATGTTTGAGTTTTAAATGTGTCACTCAACTCATAAAGTATAACTGCGTCATAAGCATTCACAATTGTGATGTAACTTCAGTCTGGAACTAGAACAAATGCATTCGTAGATTAATCTAAATGCCTGGATGAGTCATTTTATAACTAGAATGGACTATAATATGTCTCTCGATTCTGTGGCTGCATTAAATGAACATTCCTAAATGATTTTAACATTCCACATGGTCTTTGACTTTTGAACTATCCACCTAGTTTACATCTAAGATGAGAACTTGAGGGAACTCAGTGTCCCTGCAAATTTTTGTCTATATTTATATTTGTGTATATGCACACATCTTGAAATCTGTTCCAGTGTTCAATGTCAGTTATTTATGTGTTATTATTACTGTTCCCACTGTTTCATTTTCTCTTTTTTTTTTTTTTTTTTTTTAATATGGGGTAAAGAGATTTCTGGAAATAGTATTTACTAGATAGGCCACCAAAAGCACAAAACTGTATAGTGGTTCAATTGCATGAAGGTGTGATCTGTGTTTTACTTTCCTGTGTTTTCCTGAGTGTAAAGAAAGCATAAGTCATAGTTCTTCAGACCCATTTTGCTAAAGTGGAAAAAGTAGAGCTGACTTATTTTTATTGTTTTGGTATGGAGATGATGTTCAAAAAAAGCAAAAGGTGGCAGCACCATAATATCCATAGTGAATAATCTCACAAATTTTAGATTGAAAATAGTTTGTTTCAAGGTCTGATAGAAGCAATGCACAAACGATCCTATGCTCTTAACTTGAAATTTATTAATCACCAATATGTTTTTCCAAATTGACTATAATTTTTGAGCTGCTGGATTTCTCTGCTACCTTTTTTTTTCTTGCAATAGGGAAA